CTGTGCTGCTGATCTATAATAGCCCAGCCCTAAGGCACTGCTTTCCGTGGCTGGAGTTCACAGCAGAACTCCCCACAGTCCGGGGAGATGTCTCTGTGTGTGTGTGTGTGTGTGTGTACAGATCCATTTTATCCCGTGGTAATGCTGCTCTTTGGTGGGAATTTTTAATTGCCAGGCAATTAACAACAAGTCGTTGCTCCCTCGGCGTTTCTGAGCACCGATGCTCTCAGAAGAGCTGCTTGGGCTTTTTATGAATTCAGGATGGGTCTTTTTTTTTTTTGGCTGACTACCGTAAACAACATAAGGCTTTAAAAACTGATCAATAATCCTGATGGCCGCAGCAAAATCCAGGCCAGGCAGCGTGAGTGCGAGCCAGGGATTACGTGAAGGAAGTTTTAAATACCTCTGACTCCCTTCCCTTCCCTGGACTTTTGTCCTCCTGCTGCCCAGTGCTTCTCCAGCTGAATGCATTAATATTTCTCATGCTTGTTGAGCCCATGACAGGTGATTTCAAAGCCCTGGTTTGTGTTGGCATCTCCGCTCTTCAGAACAGGAGCTGAAATGTGTCACTTACGTGGACTAGCACCGTGATTTATTGCTGTTGTTTCCAGCTTGGAACACAAAGGTGCTGTCTCATTCCAGGAGGGTTGTCTGTGGGAAGCAAGCCCCCCCAGGAGGGCAACTTGACAAACACTCACACTTGGGAACACGACATCATTTAGGTGCCTGTTTTAAGAGCTTCTTTGAGGAGTCCTTCTCCTTCGCTTTTGTGTCTACATTGCTTCAGCAAAACCTACTTTACAGGCTTAAAAGGGGGGGGGAAATGTGGATAAGAGTCATCCTGGTTTTGATTTCTTGCTCTGCCTTTGATGAGAAGTTGTTGTGGTTTGGGGGCTGAAGTTCGTACCAGCAGTTTTGGCTCCGGTCTGCAGGGAGCGAGCGGGTTTGATGTGTGATTCCATCTCTCCCAAAACAAGTCTTCAGCCTCTTGACTTCCTTCAGAAAATGATTGTCTCGCCCCAGGGGAGCCCTGCTGTGTAATTTGTGGGTAATCGAGGGGAACGGACCTCAGAGGGAGAAGAGTTTCCAGCATCTGAATGGAATTGTCTTAAATGGGAGAAATTGGGGTATTAGAAATTACAGGTGTGCTTTTCCTGGCTCAGAATAAATGACTATGGGGAAGAAGTGGAGGAAAACTTGCTTTCTGGGAGCTGCTGCAGGGCTGCCTGCCTTTCATCATTACCTGCACGGTTGTGTCCTTGGATCTGGCCCCCTGGAAGGGAGAAGGGAGAGGGAGGAGCTATTGCCTGTGGTAGTTTGCAGGCTGACCTGTGAAATATGGCTTATCCATCGACCAGTTCTCTCCCTCTCTGGGGTTAAAAGTTAACAATGCTCTTTCCTTATTCTGTTCTAATTCAATTTGGGAAGGCAGCAGGGAGGCAGAGGGCACTTAGTCCTCTAAGTGCTATTCCCTTGATGGGAGTTAGTGGCTCGCATGGCATGCACGGTGTTGATTTTATAAGCTGACCTTTACCTCCATCAGGTTCATTCTCATTTATAATACTCAAAAAAAAAGGAAAAAACAAAAAAAAATCCCAACCTCTTACTTACTCTTTTGGCCTAGAGGACGTAAATCCTTCGGCATGTTTGGATTTGCAGAATTACTGTGCTTTTGCTGAGCCTTGTGTCCCACTCCAGTCAAATGACACGGCTTTTGGGGACTGTGATGGTGTTTCTCCTCCCTGCCTCCCTCCTACCTGCTCCTGATCCACACCTCCCCATGCTCCCTGCAGCCTTTTCAGGGAAAGGTGGGTCCTTGGCAACCGTGGGAAGGGACTTGGCCAGTCTTAGGGTTATCAGCCTTCGCTTCAGAAGTGCAACAACCTCCGGGTACCTTCTTTCCTGGTGCAGAATTAAAACTGCTATAAAATGCTTTTCCAGGAGGCATTTCATCAGCTGTGCCACAGGCCTGCTCTGAAACCGGAGCGTTTCCGTGGTGGCTGGGGAGAGGGGGGAGTTATAAATATCTTTCTCGGCTCTGCTTGGCTTCTCCCCAAGATAAATAGAAGTGAAAGTCAAAAGTAGAGGCTGGGCCTTCTAAAATCCCGCCGGGACCTGAGCACAGGATGCTTTTGTGACAGGAAGCCAATTCCTGGTGTTTCAGGGGCCTTGGGGGGATGATGTTGGAGGGGCCTCCCTCCCCCCTGCCCGAGGCAGGTCTCAGATGTCCAGTGATCTCCATGCCTGGCGGCTTTGTGGTGGGAAGCCTCAGGGAGCACGGGAGCATCCATGGGAAGCCAGCCTGAAACAAGAGAAAAAAAAAAAAAAAAAGAAGAAAAATATCTGTACTTGTCCTCTAAATCTTGTAGCATGTTTACTCTCAGAAAGTACAGCCACATTACCAAAAATCAATAGTTCCAGCAGCATTCTCCCTGGGAAACACGCAGATGCTCGGACACACGGGAGGTGGTGAGTCTTATAAAAGCCAAGGGAATTACAAAGTGCTTTGGTACAAGAGCTCTGCTGCACTTCTGGCAGTGCACAAATGGAGGGCCCTTGACCTGGGCAGTGTCTTCTGGGGCTTCCTGATCTTCCCTCTGCTCTCATGTGTCAGAGGCTGTGTGAGGCAAGAGGCGCTGCAGGCAACCAAGCAACCAGCAGCAGGACAAGAGGGCACGGGCTTAAGCTGTGCCAGGGGAGGTTTAGGTTGGATATTAGGCAGAAATTCTTTACAGAGAGAGTGATCAGACACTGGAATGGGTTGTCCAGGAAGGTGGTGGATTCACTGTCCCTGGAGGTTTTTAAGACTCATCTTAAAATTCTCAAATGGATGTGGCATCAGAGCCACTGTCTGGGAACCACGGTGGGAGTGGATCAAGGGTTGGACTTGATGCTCTCAGAGGTCTTTTCCAACCTGGTTATTTCTATGATTTTGTGAAGGGTTTGTCTCATTAACTAATTTTTGCTTCGAAGTACATGTGTTTTGTAATAAAAACAGGTTGTGGTGTGCAGAGATAACATAAGCAAGTATTTGAAAGACTATTCCTTTGGCTGTTTGGTGTAAAGGTTTGACTTTCAGTGCTGCTGGTGGGTCCAGCACATCCCAGCATTTCATTTGTTTCCTTCGCAGAATCACAGAATGGTTTGGGTTGGAAGGGACCTCAAAGACCACCTCAGTCCACCTCCCTGCCATGGGCAGGGATACCTTCCACCAACCCAGGTTGCTCCAAGCCCCATCCAACCTGGTCTTGGATACTTTTAGGGATGGGGCAGCCACAGCTTCTCTGGGCAACCTGTGCCAGGGCCTGCCCACCCTCATAGGGAAGAGTTTGTTCCTTCTATATAATCTAAATCACCCTCTATCAGTGTTCCATCACACCTTGTCCCAAAGTTCCCCTTTTAGGCACTGGAAGTGGCCTCTTCCAACCTGCAGTGAGCCCTGGAGAGCAGAAAGTCATCCTTCCTTCTGAGGTCAGCCAAAACAAAAAAAGAAAGGTGACCAACCCCTTTTTACTGCCATCTCTTATTAATGAGACATTTTATCCTGAGTCCTCCAACATGAGCGACGCAGGCTTTTGGGAACATAATTAATCTTTAATTGTATAAATCTTTAATTGTATAAAATGGAGTTTGTGTGGCTGTAGTCATTTCTCTTCTCCCCTTTTCCTCCTCTCTCCGTTTGAGATGCTTCCTTAGCACAACTCCTTTTCAACAGGGTGCTCTGCCCTAGGGCAGTGACCCCCTGGGGCCACCACCACACAGTGTTCCTTGAAGCCAGGCTGCTGCCATGGCAGAATCTTTTTCCATAAGGCACTTTTTCTACGTGGTGGAGTGGCAGCAAACCCAGGAATTGTCCTGAAAGAAATCTAGCTGGTCTCCTTGTGGAAAGAAAAAAAAAAAAAAGGGTATTTGAAAAATAGAATACCCTTGGGAGAACCAACAAAAGAGCAGTTGTGCCCAAATCAGTGCCAGGCAGAGCCAAATGCCTCTTTGGAGGAGGTGAAGTGCAGCCTTTCAGATGCTAAGTAGGTATTTGGGATTTCAGTCATTCCCTGTATGGAGGAATTGATGCACCATTGGCTCCAGGAGGATTAACGTGTTGGCTTTCCTTAGTGCCTCCTGCAATGGCAGGAAGGGCTGTGGGACTGTCTGAGCCCACACCTGCAGGGACAGATAGAAAATTCAATAGGAGACAGATGGAACGGCCCCTCTGGAGATCTCCAAGGTGGGGAGATGTCACTGCTCAGGCCCTGGGTGACTCACAGCGCTCCAGTTAAGCAGAGTTTCAAAATGAGCATCTCCGCCGAGAAGCTTTTCCTGAGGCACAGCCGTTGCTTCTAGGTAGAGCAATTTCCTGCATCTTAATGGAGCAGGAGGAGCACTTTGCACTTGGACACGATGTCTTTCCACCAATAACTTGGTGTAAGAAATTCTGATGTCATTTTTTTTGGTCTGCTTCATAGACTGGATTAATGGGCAGGGCCACGCCCCCCGGGTGCTGGAGTTGGCTTGCTTTCCTTAATTTGCACTCAAGTCCTCTCCAAACAAAGACGGATTTGTTGAACAAAGCGGGGTCAGTGCTGGGATGAGGAGCCTTGTGCCTCCAGCCTGCTCGTTTGAATTAGGACTGAGCTGTGACTGTTAAGTCGCCCGTCCTGTGGCCTGGATTGGTGAAAACCTCCTGGCCTCAATCCTTGCTCCTGCAGAGCCTGCGACCTCGAGAGCCACCCGGGGGTGGTGGCCTCCCCAAGCTCCCTCAGTGACAGTCAGCAAAGTGTGTGTGTGTGGGGGGGGACGACTTGAGCAGCTGCTGATAAAAAGAACAAGACAAAAAGAGTTAAAGCACAGTCTTTAGGGGGAAAAATAATGTAAAGAATAGGCAAAACAAATCATCCAGTAGAGGCTTTCTCGGCAGGGCCAGATCCTGCGGGAGAGCCTGGGCCAGCTGGAGGCTCTGTTTCTCTAGGTGCCCCTCAGATGTTTTTTCTGCTCTCTTTTAGCTCTTTGAGAACTTTTACTTCGGGGAGGTGCAGCTGGACTCGGTGCGCCTTTCCCAGAGGTTCTCCTCGGACACCTCTGGCTACTACGCCACGTCTGGGCAGCTGTCCTTCTCCTGAGGTGGCAGCTCGGCTGGAGCGGGTCCTCCCTGCACTCAGAGGTACACAATTCCCTGGTGAAACCTTTTCAGAGGACAAGAATCCTGGATGGGAACCTGGGAACTCCAAGCAGGGGTGCTTCGTGACTCCTTCCTGGGTCCTTCCTCCTCCTTTCCCCATTGGTAACCAAAATGTCACAATGGTACCTGTTTGATGTCTGTTGCCTGTTTGTTTTCCAAGAAAACAACTAGAACTGTGTGGCTTTTTGGGGCGTCACTGGCATTTAAACGTGGCTTTATTTCCAAAAGGAGGAAGTTTGTTCTCAAAAATAAGTATTTAAAATCCAGGAGAGCTTTCCAGAGCACGATCTAAGGATATTGAGGTCAGACATTGCTTGGATCTCCAGCAGCGTGATGCCTGTGTGATGTAAATCTCCAAAATAAATTAATCCCCTTCAAAAGCAAAGTGTTTATCATCTCCCATTGCATGGGTCGTTTCTGTAATTAAACTATGGCAATAAAAAAGCATTGATGGTAAGAGCTCTTTCCAGTGACCGTTTCAGAGCGTGTCAAAAAACATACGCCTTGTAGGTGGTTTCTCCATTAAAAGCAGCACCGGGCTCTTTGATTCCATTGTGAATCCTTCAGACATCTCAAGACGACAGGTTTTTTCCCTGTAAATCTCCACATTTGGTAAAAATAGCGACGCAGGCTTTCAACTCGCCCGAGGATGAACCCTTTGAGAAATGGAAGGTGCTGCTGTTTGAGTGTTTTGTAACAAAACAGGTGCTGTTGCCCATTCCTCGTTGCTTCCACGAATGTGGAATCACCCTGCCGTCGAGGTGGAGAGCATCTCAGCCAGGGGTAGGGCTGCTCCAACAGCACCCACATGTACCAGAGGTCATTTTTTTAGAGGACTTCATCCCATTTCCTCCCTCCGGAGCGAGCTGGCTGTGTGGCCATGCACAGCCAGCGGTGGGATTTGGGGTTTGGGTTTTCCTTTTTTCCCCCCAAACCGTTGCTGTTTGTGTTTCCAAGACCAAGCTGCCTGTGTCCTTTCCAGCCTGCCTGCCAGGAAATCAAATCATCTGTGCTTTTGCCAGGTGCCCTTGGTTGCTCCCAATTACAACCGTCGGGCTTTTGGTCTCCTTTTCCTTGGAGTCGAGGGCCTTTGTGCTCTCCAAAAGCCGCCTTCCCAGACATTCCCTCAGCACCAGCACTCCCAGTCCGATGCAGGGAGGTGCTGAGAGCGCTTCACACCAGTTGCTGTCATCTTCCCGCCAACCTGAAGAGGTGCTTGGAAAATCTCATCGGAGCAGACCCGGGATCTGCTCTCACAGCCACCTGGAAGCGGGGGGATGCAGCTCGGGAAGCTCCTGCCTGATGGGATTAACAACTTACAAAGAAGTTGAGGCAAACATGGATTTTCGACACAGAAGAGCCAACTGGAGCATACTCCTCCTCTTCCCACTTAAAAAGATGTTTTAATGACAATTATTCCAGCGTGCACTTAAAAATTGACACCTCGCCTGATCCCCTTGGAGGATATTAAGTTTTCCCTCCATCCTGAGGGTCCTGGCAGGAAGAAAAGCTGAATGTGTGGTGGGAGTTTCCCAGCTTCATCTGTGAAGGAACTGCAAGGTAGTGTGAGTCGTCACTTGTTGCCCACCCTGCTTTCCTCCCGCTGAGAGGGGGGAAAATCCCGAAGCAAAACCTTGGGATAGGGGTGGGAGCCTTGTGCAGAGTCCCAAAATGCCATGCTGGGATGGCCAAGGGATGGGGATTGCTGGGAGGTGGGTTGGAGGATGGGGGATGGGGGGTGGGGACATGGCAGGGACAGAGGATAAAGGATGGGCACATGGCTGGGACAGAGGGTGTGGGATAGGTGTGGGAAAGGGGGTGCAGTGACTGGGAATGCAGGATGAGGGATACAGGATGGAGATGTGGGATAGGGACACAGGGGGGACCAGAGATACAGGAGGAAGGGTACAGGATGGAGGATGCTGAATGGAGACGTGGCAGGGATGCGTGAGGGGAACGTGGCAGTGACCAGGGACGTGGGATGAGCAGAGTGGGACAGGGGTGTGGCAGGGGATGCAGGATGTGGGATGGAGGCTGGGTAGGGACCAGGGATGCAGGATGGGGGATGCAGAATGGAGATGGGATGGGGATGGGGCATGCAAGATGGAGACATGGTAGGGATCAGGGGTGAGTGGTGGAGGATGGGGGTCTGGTAGATGTTGCAGGATGCAAGATGCGGAATGGGGACTGGTCAGGGACCAGGGATACAGGATGGAGATGTGACAGGGATGAGGGAGGTGGGATGCAGGACAGGGATGTGGCAGAATGCAGGATGGGGCATGCAGGATGAGGACATGGCAGGGACCAGAAATCGCGATGACGGGTGCAGAAGGGGGTTTGACAGGGGATGCAGGATGGGGCATGTGGGATGGAGACTGCATAGGGACCAGGGATACAGGATAGGGGCCGTGAGATGGAGGGTGAGGCAGGGGATGCCGCATGGACGTGGGACGGGCACACTGCAGGGACCAGCGATGCGGGATGAGGGGTGCCGGACGAGGACTTCAGGAAGGGGGTGTGGCAGGGGACGCGGGATGCAGGGTGGGGGACACGGGATGGGGACTGGGTAGGGACCAGCGACGCGGGACGAGGACGGGGCAGGGCCGGGGGTGCGGGGCGGCGAGCGGAGCGGGAGCGGCGCTGTGGCCGTGCCGTGCGGTGCCGTGCGGTGCCGGCGGCTCCCCCGCCGCGGTGCCGGCGCGCAGGTGCGGCGGGCGCGGCGGAGGCCCCGCCCCGGCCCTCCCGCCGGTGCCGCCCGGTGCCGCCCGGTGCCGCCCCGCGGCCGCACTCGCCGCCGGCGCCTCCCCGTGCGCACCGCACCGCTCCGCACCGCGCCCGCTCCCCCCGGCGCTGCGGCAGCATGCGGGGCTGCGGCGGGCGCCGCGCCCTGCTGGCCCTGCTGGCCCTGCTCCTGCCCGCCGCCGCCGCCGGCCCCGGGCCTGCCGCCGGCCCCGCCACTGGGCCCGGGCCTGCGGCGGCGGGGGAGAGCCCCGGCAATTTCATGGAGGACGAGCAGTGGCTCTCCTCCATCTCCCAGTACGGCGGCAGGATCAAGCACTGGAACCGCTTCCGAGACGTGAGTCCGCGCCGGCGGCGGGGCGGGGTGGGGGGGAACGGGACGCCGCCGGGCACCGGGAGCCCTCCTGCATCCCCGCCCCGCCGCTGCGGCTGCCGCAGCGCGACCCTCCCCGGCACCGGCGCCGGCCCCGGCCCTGCCACGGGCGGCCGGGGATGCTCGGCGCTGCCCGCATCCCGTGGCGGCCGTGGGCGGCTGCCTGCCCCGATACCCGGGGGATGCTTCCCGGCTCCGGCAGCTCCGACGCCTCCCCGTCCATCGCCAAAGCTGCGGGGCTGATGCCAAGGCCACCGTGGCCAGGGCGTGATACCAAAGCGACTCTTTCCGGGGAGCGGGGGGTGCTGTCCCCTGCAGCCTCTCCCCGTGCCCCCACACCGGGGTGCAGGCAGGCCCCGCCTGCCCTTTGCGGGCAGCACGAGGGGGCTGCGCCGTGGCCTCAGCCCTTCGGTGACGGCTCAGCCCGGGTCAGGGCACGGGCATCCTCCCGGACTCCCGCTCCCCCAGCCCTGCGGGGTGTCCCCCGCACCCCTCGGGGTGCCGCAGCCGGGCCGGCCCTGCCTCCGCGGGGTGGTGATTCCTGGGGATGGGGGGTACGCGAGGCAGCTAGGATGAGGATGCAGGCACTGCCGAAGGAGCGCGGGCACACCTGGCACACCGGGCTCAGCATCCCTTCGCTGTTACGCAGCCCTTGCTGAGCAGCCTCATCGGCGTTTAATTTTATGGGGCAATCGGGGGGTTTTCCCGGGCTCGTTTTTCACCCCCAGCTCGCGTTCCCCGGGGAGTGGACGTGGTGCTGCAGCCCCATCGGGGTCAGGGCACCTGCAGCAGCCGGGTGGGGAGGGGGCACACCCCGAGCCGCCCCCCACCCCACCCGAGCCAGCCCCTCCGGTCTTTGTTCAGATGCGCACTCGGGTTCACCTTGGCAGCAAGGATGTGATGGATGGATGGCAGCAAGGGAGAGGTGCTCCACTGCAGGGCAGGGGACACCAACCCCCAGATAAACCAGCTTAGAGAGGCAGAGCGGGGGTGAGGGCACAAGGGATGGGGTAAACGCTTCACTGGAGACCCCTGCCAGCAACACACCCTCTTGCCAACGCCAGTGCTGGGCAGCTTGGACCCCGGCTGGGTGCGGATGCTCGAGGGGAGCACGTGTGGACGTGCCCCCATGGAAATGAGCATCCCCGGCAGGGCTCAAGGCCCAGGGACCCCCATCTGTGGGTGCTGGCAGCACACGTGGGGCCCACCCGGCTGTGCCAGGGCTGCCAAGCTGGGGGGTTTTTCAGCCTGCCGGCGGTTCGCGTGGATTAATAAGCAAATCCAGGGATTTGTGGGGGTTTCAGCTGAGCAGCGCTGGTGTGGGGAAACACGGGGAGGAGGACGAGGCCGGCGGCCGTGGCGAGACCCGCGCCGCAGGAGCTGCTGGGCGCCGCAGTGTTACTAATCACGGCACGGGAACGCGGGATCGATTGCGGTGCAAACACCGCCGCGCCGGATAGAGACATCCTCTCCGGAGCTGCCTCCTGTGCCCCTGCTTCCAGTTGCCATCCCTACCCCACCCGCCCTCCCCGGGGAGGCAGCGATGCTCCTGCCCTATCACAAAGCCCACCCTGGAGCGTCCCGCGGGGCGGGCGATGCCGCTGCCGGGAGGGTCTGAGTCCTCGTTGCTCCCTCCCATCCCCGGGATGCCTTTGGGGTCCCGGGAGAGCAGCTCTCCTCGGGGAGTGACATCCATCTTGGCCCGCTCCTACTGGGCTCGCTATTGAAAATCCAGGGTGGCAGCACCACGGGGATCCTGTCAGGGCCTCTCTCTGGGCTCCCAGGGGCTTCCTCCACCCGATGCCTTTTCCATCCCTGTTCCCTGCCTTTCCCTGGCTGGCTGATGGGGGAAGGCTTTATCCTCTGTGAAGGCTCTCCAGGATTACAGGTCTGGAGCCAGAGATGGGGGAGAACATTGGTGGTCGGTGCCAGTGATCTCCAGGGCCTGTGACGAGAGCTGTGGGCACCGGAAGGTCGGGGTGCCCCGCTGGCACATGGTGCCGGTCCCTGTGGGCTGGGGCCGGGAGGGGGAGCTTTAGGCTGTCCTGGGGCTGACCGAGAGCATTCCCGCTCTGTCTTTCTCTCTTTCCTCGATGCCGGCCGGGCCGTCTCGCTGCTGCGTTGCCAGGAGGTGGAGGTGAGCCTCGAGGGGCTGCCGAGGGGGTGGCACCCTGCTTTTTGGTGTGGGGGGGAGGCTGCTCCCCAGCCCTGCTTGCTGCCCTCCTGGTGTGGAGGTGCCCGAGGGGAGTGTGCAGGGGGAACCTCACCGGGCTGGTGGCCCTGAGCGGGGAGGTGGCACATCTGGCCCGGTGTCACCTCTTCTGCCACCTGCACTCATCTAGGCTCTCCCCAATTTGCAGGATGACTACATCAAGAGCTGGGAAGACAACCAGCCCGGGGACGAAGGTACCACTGAGATGGGTTTGAGATGGGGCACAGTGGGCTTGGTGCCAACCGGTATGGGAGGGGGCGTGCCACATTTTCTGCCTGCGCCCCCCTGGATTTTCCCTTCTGGCCGGGAGTGGTGGCAGGGCCTGTGCATGCCAGGAAGCAGCAGCTGGTGCCGGGGTGGCTGCCCAGCTGCGACCTGAATGGTGCTTTGTGCGGGACCGGCTCTTGGCCAGCACTGCCGGGGCTCCCTGGGGGGCAATCTGCCTGCACCTCTGCCTGCCCTGGCCCCTCTTTGCTCCCCCAGCCCTGGACACCACCAAGGACCCCTGCCAGAAGGTGAAGTGCAGCCGGCACAAGGTGTGTGTGGCGCAGGGCTACCAGCGCGCCATGTGCATCAGCCGCAAGAAGCTGGAGCACAGGTAGGAGGTTGGTGGGGCGGGGACTGAGCCGGCAGTGGGAGGGTGGGGGGGACCGAGGTGGGGGCTCGGCACCATCCCCCTTGCCCCCGGGCCTCTCTTGCCCTGTGCAGGATCAAGCCACTGGGCCCCAAAGCGCACGGGGGCTGCAAGCCCTGCCACGCCGCCCCCCTGGCCGCCGTCTGCGGCTCCGACGGCCACACCTACAGCTCGGAGGTGAGGACAGTGGCACCGCTGCACTGCGGGGAGGGGGACGCTGTGCCTCGTGTCCCCCCTGCTGACATCCCGCTGCCACCCCGCAGTGCAAGCTGGAGCAGCAGGCGTGCCTGGCCAGCAAGCAGCTGACGGTGCGGTGTGAGGGGCAGTGCCCCTGCCCCACCCCGCACAGCCCCGCTGGCGACGGAAAGCAAGGTGAGCGGGATGAAGGGGCAGCCAGACCTCTCCCCAAGCTCTGCCCAGCCTGACACTGCCTCCCTGGGACCCCCAGACCTGTGCACCGGGCAGGATCTGGCCGACCTGGGCGACCGCCTGCGTGACTGGTTCCAGCTGCTGCGGGAGAACGCCAAGCAGAACGGCTCCGGCGGGCTCCCCGCCAGCCCCGCCACCGGTACGTGTCCCCACCACCCGCCACGTGGGGAGGGCACCGGGGGGGCTCTCCCCGGGGGAGTAGCCAGGCAGCCACAGGGCTCATCCCGCCCTGCAGCGCTGGAGAGGAGCGTGGCGGCCACATGCAAGGAGGCGGTGGGGTGGATGTTCGCCCGGCTGGACACGAGCGGGGACATGTTCCTGGAGGCGGCTGAGCTGGGCGCCATCAACCTGGACAAGTACGAGGTTTGCATCCGCGCCTTCTTCAACTCCTGCGACACCTCCAGGGACGGCCGCGTCTCCGCGCCAGAGTGGTGCTTCTGCTTCTGGAGGGAAAGTGCGTCGCCCCAGGGCAGGGGGGAGGTGGCGGGGATGGGGGTCCTGCTGTGGGGCTGGGAGGGGCCCATGCTGTGGGGGATGCACGCCCTGGAGTCTGTGCTGTGGGGCTGCGGTTAGTGGGGCAGGGGATGTAAATCATGGGGCCATGGGGAACCCATGCTGTGGGGTTGGGGTTACAGGGTGATGTACATCATGTGGCCATAGGGAATCTGTGCTATGGGATTGGTGGGGGGGGGGATGTTTGCCATGGGGGGAGGCACACCATGGGGTCTGGGGGGGGGGGGGGTTGAAAACCATGGGGGGAAATGCATTCCCACATGGGACTGGGGTATGCATGCCATGGAATCCACACTGTGGGACTGGGGTTGCGGGGTGATGTGCATCACGGGGTCATGGGGAACCCATTTTGTGGGATTGGGGTTGGGCGGGGATGTACTTCATGGAGTCCTGGAGAATCCATGCTGTGGGGATGTTTGCCATGGGGAGAGGTACCCCATGGGGTCTAGGGGGGTTTACAAACCATAGGGGGGATGCATCCTATGGGATTTGGGGGAATGCATGCTGTGGGGTCAGGGGCAGTTACACAGTGAGGGGGCATAAGGGGTGTGCACACTGTGGGTCATGGGGAAGCACATCATGGATTAAGGAGCAATCCACACTATGGCGGATGCATGCTGTGGGGTCTGGGGGGGAATGTCATCCATAGGTTTGGAGGGATGCACAGGAGGGGGATGCACATCATGGGAATGAATGCTGTGGGTTCAAGGGGTGCACACTGTGGGGCAAGGGGGGCTGCACGCCCACCCTAAGAGGGGTGTGTGGGGGTGCTGCAGAGCCGCCCTGCCTCCGGGAGCTGGAGAAGATTCAGATCCAAGAAGCTACCAAAAAAAAGCCGGGTGAGTGGGGAGTCCCAGGGCCCTTTTTCCCGGCAGTGCCGGGCTGGGATGAGGACGGGGAGCTCCTTGGCGGGGGGAATCATCTGGCACTGCACTGTGTTTGGGGGGGGGGGGCTGTTGCTCCTTGCAGGCACCTTCATCCCCAGCTGCGATGAGGACGGGTACTACCGGCGGGCGCAGTGTGAGCCGGGTGGCGGAGAGTGTTGGTGTGTGGACCAGCACGGGGCTGAGCTGACGGGCACCCGCGGCCACGGCAGCCCCGACTGCGGTGAGAGCCAGGGGGGAGCCCCCCACCCAGGGACGGGACTACAGCCCCGGGACCCCCTGTGAGCCTCTGCCCCTCGCCCCCCTCCTCCCCTAGACGAGGCGACGGGGTTTTCGGGTGACTTCGGGAGCAGCGTGGGCTGGGAGGACGAGGAGGAGAAGGAGCCAGAGGAAGCGGGCGAGGAAGGCGAGGAAGAGGAGGGCGAAGCGGGCGAGGGCGACGACGGCGGCTACATCTGGTAGAGGAACGGGAGAGCCCGGTGGGCGGCACGGCCGGGAGGCAGCCCCCCCAGCTGGGGGTCCCTGTGACCCCCCCCGCTGCCGGTGTGGCGTGGGGTGGGTGTGTCCCCCCTCACCCCCCTGGCCCCGTACGGGACGGGGTGTCGGGGTGCTCGCCCAGGGAGGGGGCGAGTGGGGCGGGAGGGGGGCCGCGCTTAGCGAATTTGAGCTTTTTTTTTTTTTTGGGTAGAGCCTTGTAGGCCTAGTGTGCTGCTGCGTGGTCTTCAACTGGGCAAACGGCGCTAATAAAAGTGGGAAAAAAGGAAAAAAAAACCCCAACCAAGCAACAAATAAAAAAAACCCTCTAGAGAAGCTTCCCAGCCCCTCCCTTCCTCCCTGCATCCCCCTCCATGTTGTGCTTGCGTGGCTGCCCCGGCCCCCAGCGTTGTGTAGCGGCTGTGAAATAAATACCCCGTGCTGTGTCAAACACTCGCCCGCCCGTTCCTCCCACGACACCTCCCGGCACTGCAGGGGGTCCTGGGGAGGTGGTGGTGGCGGTGTGCCCTTCCCCCCTGTGAGGGGGCAGTGCTGAGGTGAGGGAGTGAGTAGGGGTGGGAGGGACCCCCTCCCAAGTGCCCTGGCTTTGGTCCCGGCACTCTGCTGACATGGTGCTGGAACTGACCTCCCTCCTCAGCGCTGTGCCCCCACTCCAGCTCCTGACTCTCTCCAGGACCCCAAGAATATGCTCCCACCCCAGTGTTGGACAGCCTCCAGGACCCCAAGGATATGCCCCATGTTTTCAGTTCCTGACCCTCACCAGAACCCCCGGACCCAAAATAACCTCCTCCCCACTCCCAGAGAGTCCTGAGCCACAGCAGGACTCATCTGCCCTCCCTATCCTGGACCCCAACCCTAACACCGACCCAGTCCTACACCCCTGACCCAGAATATCCCTTGCAGAACCTGTTCCTCCCCCAGTCCAACCCACACCCCAGTCAAGACCACCACCACCACCCCCCACAGCCGCTCAGCACCACGGGACACCAGGGCCTCAACTCACAGCATTTATGGCTCCGGGGAGAAACTAAAACAATACAAACACCCCAATTTGGGCCTGTCAGCAGCTGGCAAAGGCACTGTGTGGTGTCCCCCGCCCCAGAATGTCCACCCTCCACCGGCTCTGCGGGGTCCAGGCGCTCGGGCCCCACAGTGAAGAGGGGCCATGGCAGCTCCACCCCTGGCACCTTGGCCCCTGGTACCTCGGTCCACAGCACAAGCCCCCAGGGATGGGGGGGTCGGAGCTTGCTGGGGGGTCCTGGCTGCTGCTGGAGCTTCCAGGCTGCCCGCACCCCCTGTGCCGCGCAGTTGAGCCCGGCGAAGGCACCGGGGTCACGGGTGCGACGGTACCGCACCACCAGGGGCTGCAGGACCGTGATGGGGATGCAGAAGCTGAGGTGGGGGTAGGTGGCCCCCGCACCGTTGTCCCGGGTGTTTCTGGCCACAATCCCTGGCGGGGAGAGGAACGATGCCCACGTCACCAGGTCTGGCCAGGGGACAGCCACGGGACCCCCCTCCCCACTGCACCCCCGGCTCACCCATGAGGCACCCGCTGCGGGAGGAGAGGAGGGGGCCACCGCTGGAGCCCCCGTGCACGGCGCAGGTGGTCTGCAGCATCACCGGCTGCCCCTCCACTGCCACCACGGCCGAGAGGATCCCCGCTGTCACCGAGGGACCGCACGCCCGCCCCAGGGCACCGAAGCCCACCACGCTCACCTCTTCTCCTGGGGGCCAAAGGGGGAGGCAGGAGGTGGGTGAAAGAGGGGGTGATTTCCCCCCACTACACCTCGCGTCCCCCCCCGTCGTTTACCTGGGAGGAAGGTGTCTGCCAGGCACGGGGGGAGGAAGCCTGGTATGCTCTCCTCCAGCTCCACCACGGTCACGTCAAAGGAGGACAACTCTCCGAGTCCCCCGTGTGACAGACACCTCCTCTGCCTCGCCCTCAGGGACGCCGCAGGGCTCAGGGGACGGGGCGGGGCCGCGGGGCCAGCGCGGGCTGCCATTGGGCGGGGGCGCTCGAGTGCTGATTGGGCCGCGGCTGCCGGGCCCGCGCTAGAGAAGGGCGGGCGGGGTCGGCGTGGCCGGCGCTGTTTGTGCGTGAGGGCTGAGGGTGGGGCCGCTGTGCCGGGCTGGGGGAGCGCCGTGTGCTCCGTGTGCTGTGTGCCCGTGGAACGGGGCAGCTCTGCAGGGCTGGGGGAGAGCGCCGTGTGCTCCGTGGGCTCTGTGCCCGTGGAACGGGGCAGCTCTGCAGGCTAGGAGAACGCTCCTGTGCTCTGTGCCCGTGGAACGGGGCAGCTCTGCAGGGCTGGGGGAGAGCGCCCTGTGCTCCGTGCCCGTGGAACGGGGCAGCTCTGCAGGGCTGGGGGAGAACGCCCTGTGCTCCGTGCCCGTGGAACGGGGCAGCTCTGCAGGGCTGGGGGAGAACGCCGTGTGCTCCGTGTGCTCTGTGCCCGTGGAACGGGGCAGCTCTGCAGGGCTGGGGGAGAGCGCCGTGTGCTCTGTGCCCGTGGAACGGGGGAGCTCTGCAGGGCTGGGGGAGAGCGCCGTGTACTCCGTGCCCATGGAACGGGGCAGCTGGGCAGGGTTTGGGGCCGCGCTGTGCTGGGCTGTGGGGGCTGGGTAAGCCCGTTCCCTGCCGAGGAGCCCCGGGGGGAAGCCGTGGCGGGGCTGAGGGGCTGTTGCTCTCCCGGTCTATCAGGGTTTGCCTCGGAACTCCAAAACCTTTCGCCGTGTAGGGTTATGAGGCAAAGAGTAGTCTCACTTAGTTTGTTGGTGCTGCATTAATGCTTTTTACTCCTTTTCTAAAGAAAGAATAAAGAGGGGAACTCGGGCAGCAGCCAAGCAACACCAAGTTATCTGCAACCGGGTGAAGTGACTTGAAGAGCTAAATGTATAAAACCACAGAGGGAGGTGCAATAGGAGTTTATTATCAGATTTCCATGTATTTTAAGTAAATATATAAGATCGGGGTAATGGCAGGCTGTCTGATGTGCTCAGTGGATGATGCTGACCATGCTGGTAACAGCATTTGAGAGACACAGAGCACCTGAGGAAAATATCTGTGTTTACGTGCTGGAAGCTTTTTTAAAAAGCGTGAATAATTAAATGAGGAAGCTGCGTGATTTCTGAGAGAAGAGGGAGAGGGTGTGTCCGGGTGTTCCATGTTAAATACAGGTTGGCTAGATGGGCTGCAAAACTGTCTTCTTTTGCAAGCTTACAGGCAGGGTGCTGTTTGAAACGAGCCTCTCGGCATCCCTCTGGAGTTGGTTACCCTGGAACTCACTGCATGCAGCCAGGCTGAAGGGAGAGGCGGGCTATGGGTGCAGGATTTGGCACGGAGATGCACGGGCAGCCGGAGCAGCTCCCACGCTCTGCATCCCGACACACCAGCACAGAGCAAGAGGGACATCTTTTGGCACGATGGGGTTGTGCTCTCCCAGCTGCTGCCTCGTGGGGACTCCCTCGTGCATGCCCGGATGGGACCTGCAACAGGACCCCCCTGGGCTGCTCCTGCTTCCCCGGGACTGGGGGAGGCTCAGGGCTGTGCTGGGAGGGTGGCCTGAGAGGAGCAGGTGGCTGAGCCAGCCCAGCATGAGCTCAGCAGATGCACTGCAGGGATTACAGCGCCGGGAGCTGCCCCCGGGCCGTGGCTTCGGCCCCGAGCGCCGGTCGGTCCGTCCGCACCCCGGGCCGAGCGAACTCCGCACCAGCGGGGCGGGCGCGGCTCTGCCGGTTCTGAGCGGCGCGGCCGGGGTGGGGCAGGGGCAGGACCCGACCATGTGAGCGGGGAGGGTCCCGCACAGGTGCGCGGGGAGGTGGGGTGGGGCGGGGGGATTTAAGGGTCGGAATGCGGGGGCCTCTCGCTGCCGCGGCTCTTTTTCTTTACTTTGGTTTGTACCTTTTCTTTTATTTTTGCCTTTTCTTTTACTCTTTCTCCTTTCCTTAATCCTCTCCATTCCTCCCACCCTTTACCCCCCGCTCCCTCCCTCCCAAACCCGGTCATCCCCTACACCCCGTCCCTGCCCGCAGGGGCACCCCGACCCCCAGCCCTCGTTCCTGCCCCTCTGCCCTCCCTGGCCCCCCACCCCGCCTGGCCCTGCTCCCTCTCCGTCCCCTGCCGCACACCTCGATCGGCCCTCCCCTGCTTCCTCCCCCTCCGCCCTGGCTGTTCCTGCACGCCGCCTCCCCCCGTCGGTGCCTTCCTGCACACCCCGGCTCCTCCGGCCTCCCCTCCTCCCCCATGCCTGCTCTGCCGCACACCCCGACCCCCGTCCCCCTGTCCCCCGTGGGCGCATTAACGCTTTTTACTCCTTTTCTAAAGAAAGAATAAAGAGGGGAACTCGGGCAGCAGCCAAGCAACACCAAGTTACTCTGCAACCGGGTGAAGTGACTTGAAGTTGATAAGGTGGTCCCTTAGAACTTTGGGGGCTCTGGGCACAGGTGACCACCAGAGACCCCCAATGGAGCCCCTCAGAGACCTTCTGAGAGTTTGTGTGTATGGTAACAGGTGTTGGGAAATGTCCTGAATACGAAACAGAAATGCAGGGAACAAAATGAACCCTCATGTAATGCTAAGCCCTCCCATCAGCTGCAGCCGAGACACCTCTGTGTGCACTTTGGGAGCTGATGGCCAGGACCCCTGTTGGGCTGGGATGATTACAGGGTGTTGTAAGCAAGGAATGCCTGGCTGCTAAAACTCACCAGCTGAGTCTTAGAGGCTTCTTTGCCGAGCTGTTTTGAGGCAGCCAAATGGGCCCCAGGCAGGGACTCTGTGCCTGCTCTCCCGTGGTTCTGAGGGTTCTCTGGGCCTTCATTCCAGCACTGCGGTGTTCTCGGGAAGGCCCTCAGATCCCCAGAGCAGTCTGGGACATGGGCACGATCCCCCTGCATTTTGGGAGCAGATTGGGCCCCCTGGAGGGACAGTGCTGTTGGTGCCCCCTGGGCTTGGGCACCCTGAGGACTCGAGCGCGCACCGAAAGGATTCTTCGGGGAGCTCCTCTGGGTGCCTCAAGCTGAGGAGCTCAAAGTAAGGTCCCTGGAATGGATTGAGGCATTCCTGAGAGTATCAGAGGTGTACCTGTCCATCCTGGCCATGGAGCTCTGGAATGGGCTGTAATTGGGTTATAAAAGTGGTGCTCCGACTGCAAAAGAAGTGTGGGATTGGGATTAATGGTGATGGTACCATTGGCTGTTTTCTCTTGAATGGAAGTGTGAGAGCTGCAGGAGTGCAAGGTGTGGGTTCCAGTCCCCAGCATTTGGTTTGCACATGTCCTGGTCAGACACAGGTCCAAATTCCTCAGTCCTTAACAGAAGGAAAATTAAGGAATGGCACTGTTAAGGTGATTGGTGTGACAGGGGTTTAAGCAGGGAAAACCTTGGGGAATTCCTCAGTTTGTCTATTTGCCAAAATTACCCAAACCACTGCCAGGAAGAGATTGATTGGAAAAGTTGAGGCAGAAATTAAATTGGAAAATGGGGAGATTGAAATTGTAATTCCTGAAACTAAATGTGTGAGAGCAGCAGCTCTTCTTGTGCAGGAAATAACTCCTGTCAGCAGCACCGTCCCAACTGAAGTGGCAGATGGAGTTGTTCCTGTGGTGTGGGCCAGTGGAAAACAGTTGTGGCCTATGAAGGGCCAGGTTGGACACTTGTCAAACAGTGGCAGAAGTGGCTCTCCAGGTAGCCCAATATAAATATGGGAAGCCAAGGGGTCAAGTGAACCAGTGCATGCTGTGACTGCAGAGGCGGGGATAGGTTGGGATGGCAATAACTGGGGTGGAGATCCTTGGGATTCAGCTGCTTCAGAGCGTGGTTCAGAGGGAGAAGTATTTGCTGAGGCACAGCCAATAGCAGGAGGGAAAAGTGGAAGGTGACACCGATGGTTCTCCCGTCAGGCCTGATGTGTGGGAGGATTTTACTCAGCCTGAACTTGCTGGTGTTCTGGAGAGATTTAAAAAAAGGCCAGAGAGTCTGTGATCTCCTGGGCAGTTGGGCTGCATGACCTGGGAGCCTCTGGGATAAGATTGGACTGGAAAAGTCTGGTCTGGGTTTTCCCCCATTCCCGACTCCGGCTGAAATCCGGTCCGGGTTTTCCCCCATTCCCGACTCCGGCCGAAATCCGGTCCGGGTTTTCCCCCATTCCCGACTCCGGCCGAAATCCGGTCCGGGTTTTCCCCCATTCCCGACTCCGGCCGAAATCCGGTCCGGGTTTTCCCCCATTCCCGACTCCGGCCGAAATCCGGTCCGGGTTTTCCCCCATTCCCGACTCCGGCCGAAATCCGGTCGGGTTTCCACCTTCCCGACTCCGGCCAAAATCCGGTCCGGGTTGTCCCCATTCCTGACACCAGCCAAAATCCGGTCCGGGTTTTCCCCATTCCCGACTCCGACGAAATCCGGTCCGGGTTTTCCCCCCGAAATCCGGTCCGGGTTTTCCCCCATTCCCGACACCGGCCGAAATCCGGTCCGGGTTTTCCCCCATTCCCGACACCGGCCGAAATCCGGTCCGGGTTTTCCCCCATTCCCGACTCCGGCCGAAATCCGGTCCGGGTTTTCCCCCATTCCCGACACCGGCCGAAATCCGGTCCGGGTTTTCCCCCATTCCCGACACCGGCCGAAATCCGGTCCGGGTTTTCCCCCACTTCCCGACACCGGTCGCACTCCGGTCCGGGTTTTCCCCCGTTCCCGACACCGGCCGCACTCCGGTCCGGGTTTTCCCCTGTTCCCGACACCGGCCGAAATCCGGTCCGGGTTTTCCCCCATTCCTGAATCCGACCGCACTCCGATCCGTGTTTTCCCCCATTCCTGACACCGGCCGAAATCCGGTTCGGGTTTTCCCCCATTCCCGACACCGGCCGAAATCCGGTCCGGGTTTTCCGCCATTCCCGACTCCGGCTGAAATCTGGTCCGGGTTTTCCCCTATTCCCGACACCGGCCGAAATCCGGTCCGGGTTATCCCTCATTCCCGACACCGGCCGAAATCCGGTCCGGGTTTTCCCCCATTCCC